GTGTTTAATTAAACGCCAGAAATTTTTGGTTATGAATGATCATTTAGCTCTTCAATTCACTTTTTTATGACCGTGGGAGTTGAATAAAATTTTTTCTAAAACAATTTGATAAAATATATAAGCCAATCCAACTTCCAAATGGACTGAATTCTCCTGGAAATGGCCCATACATTTCAGAGACATAGAAAAACAAACTAAGTATGCGCCACATGTACATAGAGCAATGTGGATAGATCATAAAACACGAGGCTGCATTTTTACAAAGAAGAAAGAAAATGAGGTCTCATCACAATACCGTTTATGTCAACCAACGATAACATGCACTTTATGTTTATGCACATGTTTTGCCGGGTCATACAAACAAAAAGCCATCAAATCCATTAGAACCCAGAGGGCAGGAATGGGACTAGGAAACAAGGATGAAAGGTAATTAATGAAAAGAGTTAATTCAAATCAGTCAGTCAAGAGGTCTTACACAGACCAAAGAGAGAATGCTATGATTTGAGAACTATGATTAATTAATTTTCCCTTCACATAAAATGTCCAAATCAAACAAAAACTAAGATGTCCTTGAAACTAACAAAGTCTCCAAATACATATTTGACAAGGTTTTGGATAAATAATGGAATTTGTTCATTTGTCCAACCTACGAGTTGAAACGTTTTATTGGGAGGGAAACATTCATTGTTTTTACTAATAGAATAACACAAATATACAATGTTTTAATATGGTAATGTTCTCAGTCAGAGTCACTCAATGCTCTTTCAAATGTTAGAAATGAAGAAATTAGGAACAATTTTAAAAGCAAAGCAGAATTGAGCCAAAAAAAGCTTTATGCAGTAAAGGAATACAACCAACCTCAAAGCCGAATAAAGTGTAACATTCCACTCTAGAGGGTCATGTGGAAGATTAGTATATGGATAAATATATACAATGGGTGAATATACATATCCATAGCATACTTGCTGATCTGAGGAACCCACCTGTATTAAAATTATTAATTTAACCAAAAAAAGAGAAATATGGTCTCGTTTTTTTTTAAGATGCCCAGGTTTCAAGGACAGGAATAACATTTTTGAAGAAACACAGGAAGTATATAGTTTTCTATTTTAGCATTATCTTTCCTTTTCAAATAAATCTGGAAAATCAATCACTTCATCTGATGTAAGTATAAATAATTATGAAGAGGTACTTAATTTAAAACTCTGCTTTGAAAAAGGAGAAAAGAATGGAGTATAAAAATATTTGATAAACTGAAAAGAGAAGGGAGACAGGTCTTAACTGTAGAAATACCTTAGAGATTAACTTGCCTGAACTTTCATTTTATGGATATGGAATATAAAAAAAAAATGTCCAAGAGGAAGAAAAAAGAATGCGAACTTCTGCTCCCATGTAAACGGTTCAATGTTAGGTTAATTGCCAAGGAATGAGTCTCTCAGGTTTGCTACTATTGCAGAACTGAGCCTTCAGATGGCCCCATGCAGACACCCAGACCGCCCCCTCTTCATCTGGCACTTCATCAGTAGCCTGGGAGCCAAAAGCCTAGCAATTTGAGATCCCCCTCCCCTTTTTTCAATATTCTTTTATAGAATAAAAGGAAGGCAGCCCTAGGCAGATATTAAGCATGTGAAGTCTAAATACTGTTCCTTAACAACAGGGCACCTGGGTGACTCAGTAAGCGTCCAACTTCGGCTCAGGTCATGATCTCGCAGTTTGTGAGTTGGAGCCCCATGTAGGGCTCTGTGCTGCCAGCTCAGAGCCTGGAGCCTGCTTTGGATTCTGTGTCTCCCTCTCTCTCTGCCCCTCCCCTGCTTTCTCTCTCTCTCTCTCAAAAATAAATAAACATAAAAAAAATTAAATACTTCTCCTAAACAGAAACAATAACCCACTGGCATAATTATGGTCAATTCCCAGTTGCTAACGAAGGATTCAAAGACTCTTTGAACAGAGTTTAAGCCGGGGTTTATTTTATTTATTAAAAAAATTTTTTTTAATGTTTATTTATTTTTGAGAGAGAGAGAGAGAGAGGGTGCGAGTGGAGGAGGTGCAGAGAGAGAGAGGGAGACACAGAACTCAAGTCAGGCTCCAGGCTCTGAGCTGTCAGCACAGAGCCTGAGGTGGGGCTTGAACTCACAGACTAACGGACTGTAAGCTCATGACCTGAGCCAGAGTTGGCCGCTCAACCGACCGAGCCACCCAGGCACCCCAAGCCGGGGTTTATATGAGAGAACAAAATATCTGGAGCAATGTAAGTCTCAGATAACATTTGAGTCTAATGTACATACTTTGAGACTATTTCAATTTAGGACAGTTAATAACAATCCTTCTTCAACTCTTGGAAATGGCTACAGATGGGTCATTCCACCTTTCCTTCTTTGAAGAATGAGGACATATTAGCCCATCATGAGCTTATGTTGCTCAGTAGAAATGGTAGAAATGGGGAGTGTATTCAAGGCACAATTAAATGAAAGAAAAAAGATTACCTTTTGACTTTACCACCTCCGTCCTTGCCTTGACCCTTCTGGGACCACAATTTACTTTGAGACAATGTGTTTATTCCACAAGTATTTAAATTTGAGTGCCTCAGATCCCCTTTAAATCACTTTTCAGACACATAAAGGAATGCATAGAAGAGTCTGGAAAAACTGGTTAGAAAGTGCTGTGCTGGACTCCCCACTACCAACCCCAGTCAGCAACAACAACATGCACATACATATATGCCACAAGCTAAAACTTAGAAGGAAAAGGAGTCCAAAATACAAAGCAAATGTCAGTCCCTTTCAAATGATCTACTTCTTTGTTCTTTATCAATTCTCTCTCTCTGTTCTTGCTATTCTAGGAAGGGACATCACTTTCTGATCTTAAATGGCTCCTGGCTAGCACTAAGGGATAAAAATGAACCAGCCAAATCACAGCTACTGGTCACTTCATGGAATGAGTACGTGTAATATAAACACAGTCTAGGACCAAAGAAGAAAGGTTTCGTGTGATAAATATATCGTGGGAGATGCTGAAACAGTATCAAATTTACATGAGTTTTTAAGATAGTTCAGAAAATTTCACATTTGCTATCTTATGTTTTCTGTATTTTCAAGAGATACTAACTAACTCTTGTCTGCCATCAGGAGTATTGTACTGTGAAAGTCCAAGAAGTACTGGTATAATGGGAAAAGAAAAACCCAACAGCCCTGAACTTGGTGTCATAACATGTCAGTTCATGTCCCAAATCTACCCCTTGAATACTAACTGTGCGATCTTGGCCAGGTTACTCACTTCTTATTTTCTTGACTGAGATCACATCAGTTGTGATTTCATATACTTGTTAAACTGTAAGTTTCTATTCAAATGCAAGGTGTAAGCAATATTTTATTTATGACATATGTGGTTTAATCTAATGCAAATGATATGGTAAACCTTGAAAAAGATATAAATGCATGCTTCAAAAGACATAATCTCACTTCCAAGTTAGATTTTCCTTACTTCTATTGCATTCAAACAGAGATGTGAGGCTAGTGGACCAACACATCATTTTCTGTAGTGAATGGAAAAAGCTAAGGGTGAATTATTGGGAGTTAAAGCTACATGAGGAGATTGGAAAAATGACATAGACTATACTTAATCCCTTGAGAAGAAGCAAGAATGGTCCTAGGAATTACAAGAGGATTGGATTCCTTCCTGATTATTGTTGGAGCAGCTTAGGCTAAGACAGAGCAAGTTGGTCCTCCACAGCTGTGCTGCTTTGGCAACCAAAAGAGTTTTCTAGTTCTAGTCCTGATCAAAATGTAAAAAATGGAGCTGTCCACCGAGAAGTGGGAAATCAGCAGTGCAAATCAGGAGAAGACCTGGATGCCAAATTCAAAGATCACCACATGCTATGCAAGACAAGCAAGGAGTTCAGGTTAGTAGAAAGTAATTTGCTAAATCGGACGTGCAGCAGCAAATCCTACTTTATTTATGCATTCTTTGACAAATCCAAACATGTGAGTAAAAAGTGGAATTAATGGTCAAAAAGGAAGAACATTTGCAAATGTTTCCAGCTAAAGTTTAAGTGGTATCCAGGGGCTTCCTCTTCCTCTCGATAGCAATAGCACATTGTTGGCCCAAGTAAAGTTGTTATTTGCACAAAAACCTTTTGGAGAGTCTATGTAGCAGAGTTGGTCAAACTAACTCTTGAGATAAGGACCCTGCAAATGGTTATAAACATATGATCTGAATTACAGTTAGTCTTGGACTAAATGATCTTTATCAAGTTTTGTCTTAAGTTTTTCCAACTTTGACATTCAAATATTCTTTTTGCTCCAAAAAAGTTAATGTGCTAATAACAGTTTTTGAAATAGAGACAGCCATGGAGATTATAGATGAACATTTATCTCCTGTTATCATAACACAAGCACAGTTTTAATAAAAAGGTTGGAAGCAGTATCTATTTAAATTAAATTAAAGAAAAAGAAAAGTTTGCTTTTTCTGAGAAAGCAAATTGATATTTTTTCTTTGATTTCCTTATACTTTGGAATGAAGGACTGCTTATTAAAACTTTCAGTAAACCTTTAAAATTATGCTATAAAGCAAATATTAAGTTTGGTCTTTAATGAGCCATTTTTGCTATTTTATAGGCATTCTAAAATGACACAGACTCTTCTAGCACTGACTTTCTGGGAACGTTTATCCTTTGTCAGACAGCATGCGACATGGAAGATGAAGTGGGTCCCCACGTTGTCACTGGCACTAATAAGTCCTATGATCCTTAACATCTCTTGACCTCAATTTTCTTCACTGTGAAACTAACACACTTGAGGAGATTGTGCTCCTAATTTTCATTTGTTCGGCTTCTAGATAATGTTTGGTGTATATACTATTTGATGAACTCCCCCAGAAATCTGTAGCCCATTAATGGCCACCTCTGAACAACAGATTATTTAACGTTCTTACAAAGATTCCAGTATTCCAGAGTTGGGGCAAAGAAGAGGAATGGGAAGGAAAGACACACAAATACTACTTACTTTTCAAAGAAATGTCTGATAACCAGCAAGACGAAAGCATACGGAATTGTCATGTACAAATGAGAGGGTTTTACAAAGACAAGTCCATCATGATCTTCAAGATCTGACCACTTTATTGTTGGAGGAAGCCAGAATCGTTCCAACCAAAACCATTCTTTAAACGTCTGAAACATTCTAGAGAGATGGAAAAAGAATATGTTAGGCTTATAAAGCAAATACTTAAAATTAAAATAACATCGAACACCATTACTCAAAATACCTATGCCAGAGAGTTTTGAAGACAAGGCAAAATGGAATCCTATTATTCAATGGGTTTCATGATTGTTCATTGCATTAAACAAGAATTACTCTGCCGATACTCTCAGAACACTTTTGGCTGTGGCATGGCAAACTGAAGTTTAACATACCACTGTTCATACTTTTGGCACAACATACATTGATATCATGGGTATGTTTCTTCCTCTTCTATGACTCTATGGTATGAAAAATTATTTAACAGTAATCTATCTCTACAACTTCAACACGCCCAAGGTCAACCTCATGAAAGCTCCAAGTATGTATAAATCTACATTAGTACCCTGAGAACTTCTTTGGGAAATAAAGAACAAGTATATTTAATTTCATAGTACAATAAGGAGCTCAAATCTGTTCATGCCAACAAATATTTATTGAGATTCTATTATTCGTCAACCACTGTGCTAGGCACTGAAAATATAAAGATTGAAAAGATAGCATTCTTGCCTTGAGGACCTTACAGTCTTGTGGGCAAGGCAGGCCTGAATATATAGATGACTTTGACATATCTTTTTTAGGTACAATAAAAAAGGCACAGGGTGTTGTTGGAACGAGATGATGGGCACTGAGCCCAGCCAGGAAGTGTCAGAGAAAGATCCCTGGAACAGATGATCCTTGAGATGTCCTGAACAATAATGGAGATAAACCAGGGAAAGGCAGGAAATGGGAGTGGGAAATAGAAGTTTTAAGGAGGGAAAAATGCTATGATCAAATAACCAGAAACAAAGAATAAAACAGAATTAGATGTCCTAATCTCATTGTTTTAGCTATGAACAATTTTTAGTCTTGACATATTGACCTTGAGGATGTTTTGATTTCGTCTTTTAATAGTTAATCAGAGAAAGGAATCAAAATGTCCGCAGATTGATCACAAGGTGGTCAAAGTAACTCTATCGAAACATCTTGATTTGTAAATATTGCAGTTCCCGTTGAACACGACCAGCAGTTTGGTACTACTACAGTGTAAGAATCCAAGGTGTGGGATGGTTACACACAGGTGCCCCCACAGTCTAAGTTCATTGCCTTGGCACGCTTCTTAATAGTGCCCCCTTACTTTCAGAAGTGCTCTAGTTTGGCCAATAAATCATATGGTCACTCTCATCAAAAGGCTGGTGAGTCAAGTAGGACTTTGTCATGGAGGGTGTGAGACCCATGCTAAGTAGCTTGGACTTTAGCTAATGACATCCACTGAACAGTATTATGCAAAGGAGTAAAATGGTCAGATATTTTTCAAAGGCCACTTGGCAGCCAGGTCCTCTGTGAGCCCAAATGGTGTCTTTCTGCAGATAGGAGGATGGCGTCGCCTCTGGGCAGACACAGCCCTTCTATCCAGTGGGCTGAGGGCTGGATGTTAAGGCCCCGTGAGCCCCCAGGCCAGGCATATATGTGGCTACTTGGTTGGCAGTGGTATGGAGTCCGTTTCAGGAGACAGGAAGACTGGAGAGCAATTAGGAGTTTCAAGCGCTGGATACAGTCAGAAATGGGAAGGCTTGCACTGCAGTGCTGGAATCAGGCACTGAGTATGCTGATAGTAACATCTTACATGAGACTACGCATGAGATCCCGATGAGGTAGAGAACAAAGAATTAAGAGAGAAGTGAGGTTGAAGGGGGAAATAGACAACCCCAAGAAGCAGAGGTCAAAGAACAAGTATGATGGGAGGGACTAAGGACCCCAGAGGGCAGGAAGTCTCAATCAGAGGCGAGGATCAGAGGGTGGAGTCCTGACGTTACACATTTCCAACTTCAGGTGAGGAAGAATTCCAGAGTGTGGACCCCGATATCCTTCTGAAAAATCCACACCCCAAGCAACAGCTGAAGCCTGCTGAGATAATTCCGTGCTTCATTTCGTCTCTCATCCAATGTTAAGAGATGTGTTTATCCGAAGTAGCACTAACTCGGTCACACCCACAGCTGCATGGCTTGTGTGCAGAAAGAGAAGCGCTGCCTTCTTTCTCATGTGTTAATCATTTCACTCTGATTTCTACTCTGGGGGAGGATGAGTCCTATGAATATAGCTGCAGTTGTGCAAATATGGAATGAAGATAATCAAGAAAGACTAGTTGATATTTCCTCCCTATCAGGCTGTGGGGCTACAGAAAGGAAAGGGGTGATCCTGGACTCAGGGAGCTTACGACTGAGTCAGGACTCATGTGGCTCTGGACTCGGAGTCAGTGAGAACAGGGGAGAGGGTAGTGAGGAAGGGGAAGTCACACACTTTGGGAAGGGAACTGGCGATTCAAGCTCGGTTGCCTGGGCCATCTGACATAACTGGCCAAAAGAAGGCATGAAGAGAGGTAATCTGTTTTGAATGCATGGTCAGATACAGCTCAGTAAAAGAACAGGCCTAAGCCTTGAGTCCAACTCCAGCTGAAATTCAAACTTCCTACAGATCTCAGAAACCAACTCTGGCCATGGGAGGCTCTGTGTAATGGGCAAATCTTGGGCCAGGCCTTAACCTTCACCACATCAGAATGAGCTACACCTGCAAGGGCAGAGAGATTTTTTTTTTTTTTTCCCCTAAAACTTTGCCTCAGTATGTTCATAACTTTGTTGGCTGTAAATTTAATAGTCTAAGGGTGCCTGGGTGGCTCAGTCGGTTAAGCTTCCAACTTTGGCGCAGGTCATGATCTCACAGTTTGTGGGTTCGAGTCTCGGGTGGGGTTCTGTGCTGATAGCTCGGAACCTGGAGCCTGCTTCGGATTCTGTGTCTCCCTCTCTCTCTGCCCCTCCCCCACTTGCACTCTGTCTCTGTCTCTCAAAAAAATAAATCAATGTTAAAAAAAATTTTTTAATTTAATAATCTAGGGTTCAGGGAACAAACAGCAATGGTGATTGAGTTATTTTTTCTTTTGCTATTGTTATAGTAATTGTTATACAAAATAGTTCGCTCACTCCTAGAATGCAACTCCAGGCAGCACAGATTATTTTGTCCAGAGTGAAACACAATTAAATAAATAGTTTACAACAGCTATTTAGGAGTTGCCACTCTAAATTATGCCCTTGTGCCTCATATGCAAGCAATGAACCAAGATGTTGAAAGCCATAGTAATGCTAATATCCCACAGCTTAAAACATTTAAAGGGAAATAGAAACAATACAAAAGTTGAGGGTGGCCCCCTGGAAAATGTGGCTCAGACTGCGAAAAAAATAAATCTAATTATTTATTCATTCTTTTTTATGTGCTGCCACCAAACATCAATTATTGCTGCTTCAAACAGTCAAGGATCCCTTCTTCACACCATTCACAAAGTTTAACTCAACATGAAGCACAAACCTTATAGGCCTTTATGGACCCTTATAGGGCTAAAATTAAAACACTCTTAGAAGACTACATAGGTCTACGCAGTCCTGTGGGTTAGGCAAAGCCTCCTTACATATCACACCAAAAGCACAAATGCCAAAATTTTTATAATTGATAAATTGGACTTCATCAAAATGAAAACCTTTTGTGCGTCAAGGAACACCATCAGGAAGTGAAGAAGACAACCCACAGGATGGGAGAAAATACCTGAAAATCATGTCTGATCAGGGATTTGTATTTAGACTATATAAAGAACTCTTGCAACTCAATAATAAAAGGACACATAATCCAACTTAAAAATGGGCAAAGAATGTGAACCTGAATATCTCACCAAAGAAGATACACAAATGGCCACTAAGCTCATAAAAAAAACTCTCAACTTCATTAGCCATGAAGGAAATGCAAATCAAAACCACCTCAGAGGTACTGTTCACACCCAGTAGGATGGTTATCATCATAAAGATAACAGGTGTTGGCAAGGATGTGGAGGGCATGGCTGGTGGGAAGTAAAATGGTACAGATGCTGTGGAAGACAGTCTGGCAGTTCCTTGAAACGTTCACCGTGGAGTTACCGTATGACCCAGCAATTCTACATGTAGGCATTCAAGAGGGTATGTAGGAGAATTGGAAGGATTCATGCTACAACATGGATGGCTCTTGAAAATGTGCTAAGGAGCCAGACACAAAAGGCCACATATTGTATGATTCCATTTATGTGAAATGTCCGGAAGAGGTAAATCCATAGGGACAGAATGTAGGTTACTAGTTCCTTAGGGTGTATGAAGGGAGTGTGGGGCGAAACGGGGAGTGATTGATAACGGGTACAGAGTTTCTTTTTGGGTTGATGAAAATGTTCAAAGATTGAATGTGGTGTTGGCTGCACAACCGTGAAGATACTAAAAAATGTTGAATTGCAGACTTTAGATGGGTGAATTGTGTGGTATATGAATTATATCACAAAAAAAGAAAAAAGAAACAGGAAAGAAGCTTCCTCCACAGGGTGCCTGGATGGCTCAGTCAGTTAAACGTCCGACTCTTCATTTAGGCTCAGGTCATGATCTTGTGGTTCATGAGTTCAGGCTCTGCATCAGGCTCCTTACTGACAGTGTGGAGCCTGCTTGGGATTCTCTCTCTCTCCCTCTCTCTCTGCCCCTCCCCTGCTCTCTAAATAAATAAATAAATAAAAATAAATAAATAAACAAACTTTTAAAAAATTAAAAAAAGAAGCCTCCTCTGCTTCAACACTTTTAACCCAGAGCTCATCCTGCTAAAGCTTCCCATTATTTCATTTATGGGGCTTATGTTTTACCTCCCAAATTCACCTGTGTCAAGCTTGTGTCCACGAACCAAGGAAAGTAATTAAATGAAGGAAAGACTATATCCAGATTCAGATTTCAGCATGATTTAAAGTTCATGACTTTCTGGGGGAAAGAAATAGCATGCTTTAAAAAGCAAAACAGGCTAACCGCCCTGAAGGAGAAGCGGCTGTCCTAGATGATCGCCCTCCCCCCCCACCCCCGGGTGTAAGGGTGTTCGGTAGACATCCACAAGCCCACATTTCAGCTCTAGCAGTGGG